TTGCTCCTCAGGACAAATTCCACCGGAGGAAGGAAGGAGAGAGGTAACAAGAGAGCAAACACACACACACACACACGCTGGGTGCTCTGCCAGCGCAGAGAAACAACAGGCAAAACAGGAGAAGCAGCAGACATTTGCCATGTGCCTCAGCAGCTCTCCCTGCAGTGATCCACACTCCCAGTGGATCCCCAGACAGGGACAGATCCACCTGCAACAACAAACACCACAAGTACAGCCAGCATCAGCAGGAAAACAGCTCTCCAGAGCTTTTCCACAGCTTTACATTTGCTCCGGTCAACAGCAGGGAGATGAATGCTGGTCTGCAGCTTTAAACTTTTATATTATAAACCTTATACAAACATTTCAACAGACAAAAAAGGCCAAGCTGGGCCTAGAAGCACCCTCTGCATCCACATGCTCCTCAGAGTGACTCCAAGAAGTGCCTCGTGTCCCCTCTGTCCAGCAGCTGCCAGGAAGGACCCCAAGCCCTGGGGGTCTCAGCCCAGCAAATTCTGCCATGGGAAGGATTCCACCAAAGGAGCCCCAAGCACTGCAGGATGGACATGGGAAGCGTCCCCAGGGGAGGAGGAAGAGCCCAGCTGGGCTGCAGAGGAACACAGCACAGTGCTCAGCTGCTTTCCAGAGCAGAGCCACATGCAGGTGACAAATAAAGCTGTGTTCATCCTCCTCTTTCCTTCCCAGGATCCACCAAACTGCTTTCAAGCATGAAAACTCATCTTTCTTACTTTCTCTACCCATTTTTATTTAAACCCTCAATTTTCTGTTTATTTTACCAGAGGTAAAAGGCAATGCTGGCAGAGAGGACAGAAGCCAGGTCACTGTAGGGAATCAAATGGTCCCATACCAACATATTCCAGGAGCTGGACTTCAGTGATCCCTGTGGGTCCCTTCCAACACAGGACATTCCACAATGCTATGACATTAAGGAGCACACACCAGTGAAAAGCAGCACAAAGCCATTTTTCCCAAGTAAGCAAGTGGGATCACATCAAATCCACGCTCACTTAAGCTGAGCTGTTCCGACTACAACACTTGCACATGGGAGCAGATTCTTTTTATAGAGACCTGGTGTGGCACAACTTCTTGTGAGGTTGGATTTAAGGGACAAAGGTGCCCATCACAGCAGGCAGAAGGATGTGCCCTCACAAACAGGGATTTGAAGCACCTCTGCTGGGTTTACATCAAAGCAGCAGTTCCATAAATAAACCACAATCTCTAAATTAAAAACGCATCTAATGGTGTAATGGTACATTATATGGTGTAATGGTATATTTTGAATCTGCAAATTAAAAATACACCTCATGTTAACAGTGGACTTTGTGCACAAGCCACATGGGACAAAGGGCTCACTGGATTTAACTTATTCCCTTTACAAAGCACATGGAAAACAACAGGAATATTTAAAGGATGGTGTCTTGAATGTGAAACAAAACTTTAATTCCCTCCATACCCATGAGGATGCCTCACTTCAGGACAATGCCTGTGGGATTAGAGGCCACTTATTATTGGTGGTTTAGCTACAAGTTCTTCTTCCTAAAATTACAGGAATTGTAAATCTTCATGGAAACAAACACCTTGGACCAAGTTCCCAACATTAAAAACACAATACACTAAGGCTGAAAGAACTGGGATTGTTCAACCTGGAGAAGGGAAGGCTCCAGGGAGAGCTGAGAGCCCCTTCCAGGGCCTCAAGGGGCTCCAGGAGAGCCAGAGAGGGACTGGGGACAAGGGATGGAGGGACAGGACACAGGGAATGGCTTCCCACTGCCAGAGGGCAGGGAGAGATGGGATACTGGGAAGGAATTGTTGGTTGTGAGGGTGGTGAGGCCCTGGCCCAGGTTGCCCAGAGAAGCTGTGGCTGCCCCTGGATCCCTGGAAGTGTCCAAGGCCAGGTTGGACGGGGCTTGGAGCAACCTGGGCTGGTGGAAGGTGTCCCTGCCCATGGCAGGGGGTGGAATGAGATGAGCTTTAAGGTCCCTTCCAACCCAAACCATTCCATGATTCCATGATTCAAGCTCATGCAGCTCCTCCAGCTATTCCAACCCCCAGCCTGACCCTGTGGAATTCCAGGCACAGCAGCCACATGATGATCCCAGTGCCTCCTACAAACACATCACTGACTCCCTGCAGCATCCACAGGGATGCCTCCCTAAAGCTCTCAGTCTCCACTGCCAGCAGAATTTGACTCTCTAAACCACTCAGGCTGTTCAGGTTTTGTGCATTGCAACTCAAATGTACAAATCCTGATGGAATCAGTCCCGTTCCCACAGCATGTGCTTCATGCTTGTAGCAGGGGGTGGCAGGTAATAAATTAACCTGTAATGGCCCCAAAAAGCAGAATATCAACTATGGGCAGCCTGTGCTGCAAAGAGACCTTAGGGCTGCAGATGTGCAGCAAAATTCATTCCAATCCAGTATTTGTGTGTGCTGGGACATGGAGCTGCAGCCTCTGCAGGTACTTACAAGTGACAATTCCTGGCTGGATGTCTGCAGGCTGGAAGGAGGGAAAAATGGGTTTGTTACAGGGCAAAAGGATTAACTTCTACATCTCTGCAAGTCAACTTCCAAATTTAAAAGTAAACTTCCAAGCAGCTTGCATCCATAGTTTTTTCCACTAGAAGTCTTTATTGCTTTCCTTGTGGTGTAAAGGAAAGAAACAGAGAGGAAGAGGCAGATGCCTCACCCAGTGCACACTCCATGTTTACTTACACAAAAATGCAGGTTCCTGGGAAAACAGTTCCAGGGCAGCACCCAGCTGAGACATCCCAGAGACTGCACAGGCAAAAAAATAGGAAAATTCTTGTCCTTCAGCTCCTAAGCCAATCCCACTCCTAAAGGGATCAAAAACCCAACTGGGACTTTGCCTCCTCAAGTGTTCCAGCAAAACACTGTATTTATTAGAAGCTTTAAGAGATAAAACTATGATAGAGCAGCAAAGCACAGCTTAATCTCATCCTAAGTTTGGCTTGCCAATCCTCAGGCTGTCCCAGTGTCAGGAAGAAATCCTTCCCTCAATTTAGGGTGCCATGGAAGTGGGGAACTCTGTGAACAGACACAGGAACCACCGGGGCTCCAGGACAAGCCACAGACGTGACACAGTTTTTCTTCACCCCCATCAGCATCCAGAGAGCTGAAGGCAAACTTACTGTCAAACTACCATAGAATGGTACATGAAACGTGTCTGGAAGGCACCTCAGGTCCAGCCTCCTGCCCTGAGCATCTACATCCAGATCAGGTTGCTCAGGACCCCGTGTATCCACAGCTGGAATAGTCAAGAGTTCCCTCCAGACCCCAAGTATTCAGCCCTCACTCCCAGTTAAACACGTTTCCATGTGTCCATGCAGGATTTCCCATGTGCCCACTGCCTCCTCCTGAGAGAGCAGAGCTGGGCTCTGTCCCCTCACACCCTCATCACAGAGCTGTGGGTCTCCCCTCTCCTCCCCTGCTCCAAGCTGAGCACACCCACATCCCTTCTCCCCTCCAGCCTCACCCTGGGACCCCCAAACCAGAGCCACGGCCCAGCCAGGGCACCCCGTGCTGAGCAGAGGGGACGGGCCCTTCCCTCCACACGCTGCACTTCTGCTGAGCAGCCAAAGCCACCACTGACCTCTGGTGACTCCTGGTCACCTTGTTTTTCCCAAGGGCTCTTCTGCAAAGCTGCTTCGAGCCAGGAACCCCAGAGCAGGGCTGGTGTTTGCCTCTGCTGAACATCACAGGGCTCCCACCATCCTGTTACTCCAGCCTGTCATGGTCCCTCTGAAATCCAGACTTGTGACCTCTATGCTCCACTTGGCATCACCCACAGCCCGGCTGGGAGGGCACTCACCCGTTAATAATGACATTATACAGCAAATACTGTGACTAATGGAGTGGAATCTCATCACATCTACCAAAAACCAATCAAGTCATAGGTACTCCTAATCAATCCCTGAGAGGAAATGGCTACAGGGAGCACCAACACCACACCAGCTTCCAAAGGGAGTCCCATAGCTCATGGCAAGACGATGAAAGTCCAGTTCTGTGTGGGAGCTCATAGTGCTGTGCATGATCAGTGCAAGTTACACAGTATTATGATGATTGTCACCTCTGTACCATCACAAAGTGACTTTTGGTTTGAGCACTCTCTTCCTCCTGCTTATAAAAATTCCATCCCAGGGGAGATGCAAAGCCAGGGAGCCCAAAGCAGCCTCTCCCCCCCACAGACCACAGAGACCCAACAGACAAGGAATGGCAAACACTGCTGGGATAAAATAAAGCCAGGGATTAGTCTCACCTCACCACACCCTATAAACCTGCAGTGCCTTTTGCTCTACAAGCTCTGCTGGGAAGCCCCTCAGTGGCAACTGGGGAATGATAAACAGTTGATAAACAGCGTCCAGCATCAGGCACAGCAACCTGCAGGTTTGGAAACAGCAAAGCTGGGAGGTCTCACTCTTCCAAAATACAGGATGGGGCTGCTGAACAACACAGCCCTGACACCAGGCACACAGCACCACCTGAGGGCTCCCAGCCAGAGCCTCCAGAAAGGACTTCAAACCAAAGGCTGAAACTTTGGAATCAAAGAGTGTCCTGAGTTGGGAAGAGACCCATCAGGATCATCCAGTCCAACCCCTGGCCCTGCACAGGACACCCCAACAATCCCACCCTGTCCCTCAGAGCGTTGCCCAAACCCTCCTGGAGCTCTGGCAGCCTTGGGGCTGTGCCCACTGCCCTGGGGAGCCTGGGCAGTGCCCAACCAGCCTCTGGGGGAAGAACCTTTGCCTGAGATCCAACCTGACCTTGCCCTGACACAACATCACTGACTCCGCACGAGCTGAGGGCACAGGTGACATCCCCACCTGCTGCATGGCAACTCCACACTTCTGTGACAAAAAGGTGCTTCTTTAATCCTGTGGTCTCCACTCCTGCACAGTCCTGGAAAGCAGAGGCACGTCCCAGTCACCCACGTCCATTGTGCAGCCAAATCCACCCAAACTCACCCCATCTTCCGAACTCGGACCGGTGTATTTTTCACACGCCTCCAAGAAGAGCCACCACTCCTGACAGTTGCAGAAGACCTGAAAAAAAAAGTTTGTGGAACCACCCCTGTGCATTTCACAGGAAAAGAGAAACTTCAAAAATCATGAAGATTCCCAGAACTGGGGAATTAGTTGCCATGGATATTTGCTGCTGTGACAAATACTCTAATTCTGTGCTCGGGTGAGTGACAGGCACAAAGCACCAAGTCAGCTGGGAACACCAACATGGAATGGATGCAAACACGGCGGCACTGGGAGCAGCCCTGAGGAAACAGAGCAATGGACCTGAACATATCACCAGCAGCAGGAGGCCAAGTGACCTCCCAAAGGAGCTTTGCTCCCACCCAGGTCACCGCTGCCAGCCCCTGAGTCACATCTGTGGCTGTGCCACGGGAAGGAGTTTGCTGTTCTTTAGGAGCCCACCCAGCCACAGTGTTCAGGTGTCTGTGCCAACCAACCAGCCTGAACTGGGAGGATCTTACACATGCCAGCAATGCACAACCTCCAGGTCCCAAGGGCAACATTCTCCCGCTCTGTTTCTTATAAAGTTCCCAGCAGAAACCTGCTCTACCTATTAATAACAGCTTAATAATCACTGCTTTGGGTTAAAGCAGGAAAAAAGAAAGGCACAGACTCCTACCCCCCATATTTACCCCCACATGCATTGCAGAAGCTGCTTTAAGCAGCCACGCGTGCCCAGACAGTGCTCTCATCCAAAAGATTTGGAGAATTAAGACTATTTTTAGGGAATGAAGGACCTCCCCCTGAGTCACCACAGGGACATACATCTATCCGGTCGTGATTCAAAACAGAAATAGCCTTGAAGAGTTAGATAAAGATAAAAAAACCCAGCAGAGTGAATAGAAACACAGTTTGGCCCGGCAGGGTGTGAAAGGAAGGGCAGCTGGATGCAGGGAAAACACGGGTGACAAGGGGTTGTGACCCAGGGTTTGTGACACGATGGTGCTGACACAGCAGCAGCTCCATCACTGCCCGTGTCACGGAGAGCTGCAGGACAACCTGTGAGCAGCTCCAACCCCCAGCATGTCACACCTCCAGCAGCACCACCGGGGGACAGCGGGAGGCCAGGCCGGGTCACAGCACAAGCCAGGGACAAACCAGCACCGCCAGGAGCCCGGGGAAGTGAATCCCAAGTGCCTGGCACGGGACCAAGGAGGAGATTTGTTCTGATTTGTTCTGCTCCCGGCGCGGGGCCGTCAGTGCCACACAGTCCCACGCTCCCCATCTGCATGTTTAATTCCGCCGCTGATCCCTTGGCAGCCCGAGGGCTCAGCGCTGGCCCTGTGAGTCAGCAATCACTGCCCCAGCACCACAGCACAGCCGGCTCTGCTCTCCTCCTCCAGCTCTGCCTGCCCAGCCCGCAGCCGGCACGCACAGGAATATTATGGCATTAATTATTAAACGAGCTTTTTGAGCAAAACCAAACAAAGGCTGATGTAAAGTGTAGGAAAGATCCCTGCCAACGTGCTGTAGGAATGATTATGATAATTGAATGGCATAATAAGGGTCTGAAGGGATATTTAACACCTCCAGTTAGCTCAGGTTTGGAAGAACTATCCTATTTAGGGATAAATCTCCAAGATGCTGCCTGCTCTCCTGACAACTCACATTTCAGGGTGAGCTGTGGGCCATCAGCACTAGAGCTGAACAGACCTACAGGGAGAAAAGGGCTCTGATATCACTGATAACACTTCAGTTACCTAATATTACCAGGGTGAGTTACCCAGCTACAACAATTGATACACAAGCACAAACAATACAGAGAAGCTCCACAGTCTGACCCACTGCAGCATCAACCAACCTACAGGTAAGGAGTGTCCATGTTGTTCAGAGATGAGTTACAGAGCTTATTGCACTGGCTGAAAACTCCTGTTTGGGAGGAAATCAAGCAGGATACAAGGGATATTACAGGGAAAAGCACAGCAGGTTCCTCACATTACTCCTGACAAGAAAGATCAGCTCCTTCCCCGGTGACTCACTGTGGGCACAGAGGATGACAGGCCGTGCAAGCACCAACTTAAACCTGTAACTGGAGTAAGTCAGGCTGGAGCTGAATACATATTTCCCTGTAAAAAGACAGGGAGAGGAGCTACAGACAAGAGGCAGGTGATGTCAGTCACCTCTGGAGCCAAAGAGAGCTCCTGGAGCACCCAGCAGCACTGCTGGCAGCACATGGACCGCGGGCTGGAGAGAGTTATCCAGGCTGAGCACAGCCTTGGATGTCCTGAGGCACACACAGCCCACTCCAACCTCTGCTCCTAAAGGTCAGCACGGCCCTGGATGTCCCAGAGCAGGGCCAGCCCACTCCAAAGGCAGAGCTGAAAAAGGCAGAGCTGAGGCAGCTCCAGCACCCCGTGGGAGAGACACAGGGCTGGGCAGTGACCCCCTGCTCTGGACAGGGACAGCAGAGGGGCACCAACACCCACGTGTGCTCCAGTAATGGAAGCTGGGACAACTGAGACCAGAAATGGGTGCCAGGCACCTCACCCTGGTGACAACCTGAGCAGCTGAGCCCATGAACACACTTCACGCCTGCAAACTGCTCCAGGAGGGAAAACTGCAGTGTGAGCAACACTACCTGAGGGTTCCCCACACGACTGACCTTGAGACAGCAACACAGGCTGCTGCTCTTCCACAAGGACAGCAGTGCTCTGCCCCTCTCAAAGTTTAGTTCTGCACAAGACAAGCCAGTTATTTCTGCTACGATTTCATCAAATGAAGCATTTGGGCCAGTACAGAGCGACAGAAATCCAGAACAGTTTGGGTTGAAAGGGACTTTTAAGGCTCATCCCAATCCCACCCCCTGCCACGGGCAGGGACACCTTCCACTAGTCCAGGTTGCTCCAAGCCCCTTCCAACCTTGCCATCCCTTCCAGGGATGGAACAAATCAATCAACTGTACTTGATTTAAGAAGATATGGGTAGAAATAAAGCATCAACAGAGTTCACAGCTCTCGCTGCAGTTTGCAGCCAGCAAACAGAACCAGGCAGCAGCTGTAAAACCCCTCACATAGCACCAGTAACCAGGCCATGATAGAGACATCCTTAAGGACAAGATCCATGTCTGACACCCTCCTGCAGCATCAGCAGTAGCTGCTGTTTGGAGTCAAGTGATGCCAACCCCCTCCACAGCACCATCCTGGGAGCAGAGCAACCCAGGCTGGAAGCAGCAGCCCAAAGAGCATCACTGTCCTCGCCCCCCAGCACCCCCGGAATGCCACGTGGACGTGCCATGTCCCCACGGAGCCGTGCCAGCACCCTGTCCCCAGGGACACAGCACAGGGAGGAGCTGCCTCCAGCGTGGGCAAATAATGAACAAGGAGTAACAGCAAAGCACCATATGGATGCAGCAAGTGCCATGGGAAAACAAGATGACTGGGAACACCAATTATTAATCACTGTTTAAAAACAAGTAGCTCAAAGTCACCAGGAGCTCCAGGGCTCTCCTGGAAACCTGCATGCTCCAGCACCCAAGGGTGACAAACACTCCAGGATTTGTCTGCAGAGGGAGGAGGTGTTACAAAAATCATTCTAGGAGACTGTATTGCCTCATTTTATTATGTAAAAGCTAAATATAAAGAAACATTTCTCCCCCAAGGTTGGTCCAACACTGGAAGAGGGGCGTGGAGAGGCTCTGCAATCTCGTACCTTGGAGATTTCAGGGTCTGGAGCACCAGGAGTGGCTGAGGGAGCTGGGGGGGCTCAGTCTGGAGAAAAGGAGGCTCAGGGGGGACCTTCTGGCTCTGCAACTCCCTGACAGGAGGGAGGGGGTGTCGGGCTCTGCTCCCAGGGAACAAGGGACAGGAGGAGAGGAAATGGCCTCAAGTTGTGCCAGGGGAGGGTCAGGTTGGGTATTGGAAAATTTCTTAATAGAAAGGGTTGTCCAGCCCTGGCACAGCTGCCCATGCCATGGCTGGAGTAACCTTCCCTGGAGGGATTTAAAAGCTGTGTGCATGTGCCACTTGGGGACACAGGTTAGTGGTGGCCTTGGCAGTGCTGGTTGGACTCAATGATCTCAGAGGGGTTTGCCAACCCAAATGACTCTGTGATTCTGTGACATCCAAACCTCAGCAGCTCAAGGTCCTGAGCAACCTCACTGGGAGGCCCTACGTGGAACAGGCTCCGGATCAGAGGTTCCAAGGTCTCTTCTGGAAGCCCCCAGTTCCCTCCAGGTCTCTTCTATCAGCAGCAGTTTTCAAGCTGAACTCCTCACCTCAGCTTTCAGTGGAGTCTCAGCAGGAGAAGCAAGAAAAACCCCTCTGGGTTGTGCTCAAGCCCTCACAATGCCAGCCAAGAGTTAATTGCTGGATAAACAGAGCTGGTGAACGCTGCTCTGGGAAACAGCTTTTTCCAGGGAAATGAGCTGCAGGATAAAACCCAGACAAGACAGCTGAACCGCCCCAGGCACCCAGCACTGCTCTAAGAGCAGAGCCATGAGGGGAGTTAATGCTGCTCACTGGAGAAGCCTTTCACTTCACAACAATGACCACATCACACAGCACGACACGGTTTTCCCCTCTCCATTTGCCACTGCTTTTGTTGTTACATCCTGTGCCCACAAAAAGCACTGCTGGGGGCTCTTCAGACACCCAATCCACAGAGCAGCCAACACGAAACCTGAGCCCCTGAAAGGTGAGAAAGCTGCTGGGAGAACAGACACTCATCGCATCGATGATCACATGAGCCAATCCTTGATGAGTTAATACTCACCTGAAGATCCTCTCTAATCTCCTTGAAAACACTTATCTGTTCAAGGTGATTAGATTCTCCCATACAGAGCCGCTAATTATAGATAATGATAAATCTGAGTGGCAGAGGAGTTCAGAGAGGGAGTTTGGATCATTAGCAAGTCAAGCAGACGAGTTGTGCCATCCCCAAACTGCCCTCCCACACCAGCATCACTGCTGATTTCCAAATCAGCCAGAAAACTTGGTCAAAAACCAACCTAAGAGGGGCCATCAATGCAATTAAAATGGTCCAACTATCTAGGAGCTTTCTAAATCCACACACCTCACTCCAGAGGAGGGTTCTGCACAGGAAATCTGCAAGAATTCCTCAGCTGTTATTTTCCACAGGTTTAGAGTAGGGAATACAAAGCAAAAGCACATGAAGCTTTGCTGGCAGCAAGACCTGATGTCTTCATTGATGTAGCAAAGATACAGGAGGCTTTAAATACTCCAGTGGGGGAAAAGAGAAGCTTTAATTCAGCAAACTGTCCCTGTGAAACCAACGGGGCAGCAAAGAGGCATCACACCTGGCTGCTGGAGCAAACCACACTGAGCAGCTCCCAAAGGATGGCACAGAGCCCACCCACACACAGGCACGACCAGAGCCCCAGGGAACACCCAGGATTTCAAGAGCTCAGCTCTACAAACAAAACTCCTACCAGGAATCACCAGGAATCACAGGCAACCAGACAGGCGGGGGTTTAAAGCTAAAGAGCAAACGGCAGGAAACCCAAATGGAACAAAAAGCTCCAATCTGGAACAAAATCAATCCACACAAGGAGGCAGCTTCCCCAGTCTGGATGATTTTAGAGCATAAGCAAAGTGAAGTTTCTATGAGGCTACTCCTGAGCAGCCAGCAGCTAAATCAGGTGGGTTGTGCAGCCAAACTCCAGCTACCAAAGTGACAAAACAAGGAGAGTGCAGCAGTTCACCTGCAAGGGCACAAAAGGACACTTCTGGCATGGACCTGCCAAGCTGGGAAGGACATAAAGAGCCAGCAGAAAGCAAGACCTGTGGCTCACAGAATGCCAGAAACCTTTATAGAATATATATAAATATAGATATATCCTCTGTGTCAGTGAAACAGGCAGCAGTCCCTGTCCTGCCCGGGCTGTCTGCTCACAGGGAAGGTCAGTGAAAACACACAGCCTGATACCTGAAGCTGCCTCAGTCCTGCCAGTGACCTGGAAGTTATATCAGAACAAAACTGCCAGTTTTTACCCCAGACTGTCTCCCAGGAGCACTCTGAGATGGGCAATTCCAGCTGACACAGCCACTATTCCAGAGCGCTGGGTTTGAAGAGTATCATGGAGGTTTTTCTCCATTTAAGAAAGATTTTACCACGTGTTCTGCACTGTATTTTTGTACTCCTGACTCACAACTAAATTAATTCAGTTGTCATCAAGCCCAGTAATGAAAAGAAGCACAAAACCCTCCAGCATCCCTGGAGCAGCTGCTGCAGGTCTGCCCTGCCTGAAAGTTCCACAAAGTTTCAACTCCTTCACATGCTGCTCAGAATAATTTCCTTGGGTGTTTCTGTTCGGTGTTTCAGCCTAAAACAGATCAAATTGTCTTAAAATAAACCCGGCTGTTCCCATCTAAAATAATGCTGTTGAAGAAAACCACTTCTTTGCTCATGACAGACTTGGCATCAAAACAGAAAAATAATATTCTGACATGGTTATAAGTGGAGCATTAACTCCAACAGCCTTTTGGAGCCACACAGCTCTGGGGGGCGGATCTGGGGCAGAGTTAAAACATTCCAGAAAGGATTACAAGCAAATTAGCTGAATTACTGAGAGGTAACTTCATTCTTGTCGGGGTGTTTTTGTTTGGCTTAAGTTCTTGGGTGGTTTCAAACAATTCCAAGTAGATAAACACATCACTGAACTTCTGCCCTGTTACCTGCCACGGTCTGACCCCAGGACCCAGGTTCCAGATGTCTCTTAGAGCTGGAGGAGTTTATAGTCACACCTGACAGGGAGCTGAAGCTCTGGGATCTGCTTCAGGCTACGTGTCAGCAGCTGGAGCAGGGAGGAAATCAGCTGATGAACTTTGTGTCGGGAGGAAAAACAGCTCTGGCGTAGCCTTTACAGAGAATTCCTCTCTCAGAGGGTTTGGCACTTTAAAGACTTATTATTTTATAAAGCTCAACCATCTTCAATATCTGGGATTGCTTCTGTGTCCTGAAGTACAGCCAACAGTTCCACAATACTGAAGGTGACAGAGCGTTTGTGTTCCAAGTGACAAGAATAAACACGATCCCAACCACAGAGTGGTTTGGGTTGGAAGGGACCTTAAACCTCACCTCATTCCACCCCCTGCATGGGCAGGGACACCTTCCTAAAGGATAAAAACACCAACGTCCACGTTTGTGTTTTCAGCACTGAGCTGAGACACAAAGCACAAGAGAACCTCCAGGGATGACATCACTTTGGATCCCAGCTCGCAGCCTCGGGGTGTCTGACACGCTCCTCGCTGAGCCCACAGCCCGTCTGACAGCACAGAGAGCCAGGCTGGAATCTCTGCCGAGTGCTGGAGCTTCTCTCCTTCCCCCAGGAACGCAGCCTGAGCCCGGGCTGCCTTCCCAGGCACATCATCCCAGGTACAACATCCCATCCCAGGCACAGCATCCCATCCCAGCCCATCCTTCCCCGGCCGCCGCAGCGCTCGCAGCCACAGGCACGGACGGGACAAGGATTCCCATGCTCTGGCATCCTGCCTGGCAGGGAACCAGCAGCAGGAGCAGGTCGCACAGCACAGGGACAATGCTTTCGGGTTGTTTTGCTGGAAGGTTTGCTCAGTCCGGGCAGCTCCAGCAGCTGGAGCTGCAGCAGGAGGAAAGGAGGGATGGATGGAGGGGAGACCCACGGGCGGCCGGTCCCTGGGGGGACTCGCACTGTACCACGGCTCTGGAAGACCAAATTCCGACTGTGGCCTTGGCAGAAGAAAAAAAGCCCGAAGCGAGTAACACGCAGCGCTTTTGGCCGCGCAGCCCCCGCGGCCCCTGCCCCGGTACCTGTAGTAGCTGAGCAGCCCGTTGCTGAGCACGAACCAGCGGCGCTGGTAGCCCTTCAGGTAGTTGGTCCACTTGAAGAGCCACCCCTTGTAGGTGTCGGAGCCCGGGGGGGCGGCGGGCGGACCCCCCGCCGGACCCCCACCTCCTCCTCCTCCTCCTCCTCCCCCTCCTCCTCCTCCGCCGCCGCCGCGGCCGCCCGGCTCGCTGCTCATGGCCGGCAGCTCGTGGCAGGCCAGGCAGGGCACGGCGCTGAGGAGCGAGACCAGCCCGCGGGTGCCGCCGGCGCAGAGCGCGGCCGCCTTCCCCATAGACCCCGCGGGGCCCGGCCGAGGCTCCGCCGCTCGCGGGGCCGCCCCGGCCCGTCCGCGCCGACCGGGGGCGGCGCCGCCGCCACGTGACCGCGGGGGGGGGGGGGGAGAAGGGGGGGGCCGGGGGGGGGGGGGGGGGGGCGGCGCGCCCCCCCCGGCGGCGGGGGGGGAACGGCCCCCCCCCCCCCCCCCCCCCCCCATTTTTGCCCCCCCGCCGCCATTTCGTGCCGGGGGAGCTGGGGGGGATAAAAAATTGGGATGTAAAAAAAAAAATAGTTCCCATAAAAATTTTCCCGTAAAAAATCCTCCTTGGGACTTGTCTTCCCTGCCAGGAGGAAAAGCCCCATCCCTCTGTCCCTCTCACCTGCTCCCCCCTCCCCGTCCCAGGCCATGGGCCTGGATTTTATGCCTGAGGGGTCCCTTCTCCACAGGGCACCATGGGGTCAGTGGCAGGTGCTGCCCAGCCAGGTGTCCCCATCTGCTGAGAGCCCTTCCCTCCTCACTCCTTTCCCTTCCCTCTTCCCTTAATTTCCCTCTTCTCTTCCCACTTCCCTTCCCTTCCCTCTTCCCTTACTTTCCCTCTTCCCACTTCCCTTCCCTTCTCTCTTCTCTTCCTTTCCCTCTTCTCTTCCTTTTTCCCTTCCCTCTTTCCTCTTCTATCCTCTGCCCTTCCTTTCCTTCCCCCCTAGCCTGGGGATCACCTTTCCCTGATCTCCCTAATCCACCCTGATCCCACTGATCCCATTATTCTCACCCATCACCTGCACACACAGGCCCTGCGGGGCACAGGGAGGGTGAGGGGGCTCCCCCAGCCATGTGAAATCTCCAGTGAGGGCACTGTGCTCCAAACCTCGGGATCTGGCCCTCGTCCCAAGTCCCTCTCCAGCTCTCCTGGAGCACCTTTAGGCACTTCCCTTCTCCAGGCTGAACAAACTTTTCCCAGAAACTCTAAGGCTGTTGGAACCAAAGATTCCCTGGAGAGATGTACCTACACCCCAAACTGCCCACATGGGTACCAACATCTCAAAGTCTCCCATATCCCAGCATCTCCTGTGGCTGCAAGGAAGGGAACACACCTCCCTTAGCCCTGTCAGAGGAGACAGTGGCCTCACCTGATCGTGGAGACTATTTGGGCTTTGTAGCCAGTGCCACTGCCCTCTCCCGGGAAGGGAGGCTGCCAGGAAGGGCCATGGGTAAAGAAATGTCACTGGGAGGCTGGATCCAAAAGGCTGTTTGCTCCCAGCTTGCAGTTAAGCTTTGGAAGTGGCTCGCAGGATTGGGAACACGGCTCAGGCTGGGCTGAGCCACATCCCACCCTCCTGAAAACTGCACACTCCAAGGATGATGCCCAGGCAGGACTCATGTCACTCACTCACAGTCCTGCAGCTTCCTCCTGTGGAAAGGGATGCAGGCTCCCAAATCCACACACCCAGGACTTGACAGAATGAGGGGAATCAGCCTCAAGTTGTGCCAGGGGACCTTTATATTAAATATTAGGAAAGCTTTTATCAGGGAAAAGGCTCTAAAGCTCTGGGACAGACTGCCAAGGGAAGTGGTAGAGTCACTATCCCTGGAAGTGTTCAAACAAACATGTGGATGTGGCACTTGAGGACATATTTTAGTGGTGAACACGGTGGTGCTGGGTTGGTGGTTGGACTTAATCACGTTAAAGGTCTTTTCCAAACTTAACAATTTAATGCTTTTCTCTGGAAGAGCTCAGACCCAGCAGCTTTGCTGGGGCAAAGAAGGGATTTGGGGCTTTATTTTTTGCCCCCCTTGCCCTTGGCCTTGGCCCTGGCCTTCTTCAGCTTTGCCTTGAAGAAGGACCGCACCACGTAGCCTCTCCAGGCGGCCTGGATGCGGGTGGCAGCACGGTTCCTCCTGGCCTGCTCCTGCAATTCCTCCTCCTCCTTCTGCTTAAGCATCTTGCGCTCCTCCTCAATCTGGGAATACTCCTGGAGCAGCAGAGCGTGTTTCTCCATCAGCTGGGCCAGCTGGGCCTTCTCCTCGGTGTAGACAGCGTGAATCGCCTCGAACGTGGCCTGGCAGGTACAGCAGCTCAGCTCCTCCCTGTACACCCCCAAGGGTCCTGAAACCCATCCCAAACCCATGCAGGACCACGACGGGGAGCTGAGCTGAGCTTTTCCGAAGGGATTCAAAAAGAAGGCATGTGCCCAGTACCCAGGGAATTTCATGAGATGCCAGGTCCCAGTATCTTCATGTTCCTCTGAAAAATCCTCCCACAATGGAATATTTGAGAACAGTGTGGGGGGGGGTGGGTCTGCCTTGACAAATTCTACCCCAAACCTGCTCCTGCCTCCCCACAGACAGGAAACCAAAATAATCCCATTATTAAACACCTGACCGGGGGAATCATTCCTTACAATTAGCAGCAGCTTTCAGGCCCCTCCCTGCATTTTGAAGTCCAGCAGCTTTTATCCATCCCCATAAATAGTGCAGGAACAGGGAAGCCACCAGGGCCTTCCCAGAGGTGAGGTTTGGAAGTGCTCATGTGACCCTTAGGCTGTTATGGCTCAGCTGGGTGCAGGCTGTTGGGTTCCTTAGCACCCAGCACATCTCTAAAGGATCTAGCAGGAACAGGAGCGGGATTTGGGCACGAGACAGAGCCATGAGGATTGAGGATTGGAGCAAACCTGAAAAACCTGCTGCCCGGCATGTGGTGGACGTGCCTGAAAGAACGTGGCAATCCATAGGCCCCCAAATACTGTGTGATTTAGTAGTGGATGTAGCTTTTCCTAAAACCAAAGGAGCAGAGAACTCCTGGACACATAAGCAGGACAAAGATCCCTTTCCTACAGTTCATCTGGATGGAGATCTGTCTGTCACTTCCATGGCCTCCTGCGTAAGAGCCACATGTCCATTTGGACAGGAATCTACCTGAGCAAATTCCCTCATGGCAGAGCAAAGCAGTTTAGAGCCAATACCTGTTTTGCTGCCATGTCTGTGTCGTATTTCTGGATCCAGTTCTCAATTTCCTCCTCCGCTTTGCACCTCCTCTGAAACACAAAACAAGATCAGATCCCTGCAGGCACCTGGGGCCTGAGTGAGAAGGATCCTGAGTGAGAAAGCAGGGAAGCTTTGAGCCCCAGCATCATTGTATCTGTGTATAACACCCCGTCCCTGGGACAGGCTTCCCTCAGCTGACATATATGTGGTTTGCCCTGGTTTGAGGATTCTCCTGGGACATTCCCTGAGGCCCAAAGGGCTTTATTTGGTTGACAGCATGGAGCTGGGGGGTTGAACAGCACCTGAAAGGTGCTTTCTGCAGGAGGAAATGAATGTATCCTATGGAATGCGGTAAGTCATCGACAAACTGGAGAAACCACCCTAAAATAGAAGCAATAAAGAACTGCAAAGCATGAACGCAGGACAGAAAGTACTCAGAAGATGCTCTTTTAAAAGAAGAGATATTTCTGGCTGTAGAACAGTTTAGCAGTGGCTGTACTGCTGTACAAGCAGTTATGGGCAGTTTATCCCCAACTGCTGTATCCGTGCTCTCTGGAATCATTCCTGGTCCATCTCAGGTGCCATGTGATTTCCTACGTGACACTGCCCCAGGAAGCCCCAAGGGCTCCCAGGCCATCACGAGGTCACACCTCAGCTAATTAGACCACAAGTACAACCTTGTACTTGTACACGAGTACAACTTGTACTTGCTGAGGAAAGGAGGCCTCTGTGGTCAATAAATGCGTCTTCCTGAGTGCTGGAATGAGCTGAGCACTCCTCAACAAGCCCTGCTGTGCTCTGCAGCCTCAGGGACTGCCTGACACTGCCCAAGGAGGTGTAAATGGATAGATTTTGGGGGTTGTACTGTGGCTCTAACTTGGGTTTGGTGCTTTGTCAGTGCCCAGCCCTGTTGCCAAGTCGTACTGCATCACCCAAAGCAAGAGTGAGGGATACCCCCATCACCAGCCTGGGCTGTCCTGCCCGTGGGGGGCTGTGACGGTTTGAGGGAATATCCAGGAGGAGCAAAATGGGGAGGGAAACTTTTCCCAGTTCTAGATTCTGTGTCACCAGAGTGTTCTCCTCAGGGCAGAGCTGTTGCTCCAGAGGCCTGAGCCTGCCTTGTGCTCCTGTTTCCTCCTCCTGTATCTGCTCAGCACTGGGGGGTGAAGGACTTTGGGGTGCTGCTGTGTTTGGGGCTGGACATGCCCCGCCCATGTGTGCTGGCACCCAGAACCCCCCATGCCCTGGGCTGATCCCCCAGCATGGGCAGCAGGGCAGGGGGGATTCTGCCCCTCTGCCCCCTCAGCTGAGACCCCCCTGCAGAGCTGCTCCAGCCCTGGGAACAGCACAGGGAGGACGTGGAGCTGTTGGGGAGAGACCAGAGGAGGCCACAGAGATGCTGCCAGGGCTGGAGCCCCTCTGCTCTGGAGCCAGGCTGGGAGAGCTGGGGGGGTTCACCTGGAGAAGAGAAGGATCCAGGGAGAGCTGAGAGCCCCTTGCAGGGCCTAAAGGGGCTCCAGAAGAGCTGGAGAGGGACTGGGGACAAGGGAGGGAGGGACAGGACAGGGGGGAGTGGCTTCCCACTGCCAGAGGGCAGGGATAGATGGAACGTTGGGAAGGAATTGTTGGCTGTGAGGGTGGGGAGGCCCTGGCACAGGTTGCCCAGAGAAGCTGTGGCTGCCCCTGGATCCCTGGAAGTGTCCAAGGCCAGGCTGGACGGGGCTTGGAGCAACCTGGGCTAGTGGAAGGTCTCCCTGCCCATGGCAGAGGGTGGGACTGGATGGGTTTAAGGTCCCTTCCAACCCAAACCATTCTGGGATGATTCTATGAAATCACATTTACCCTCATTCAACACAACCCGTGTCCTTGGCTTATCTCTTCAGCAACATGCCAAGCAGAGCAGGAACTGCTGAGCCCTCAACATCAGCCACGTTCCACCTTGAACACTAAATCAACTCTAAAAGATGCCTTTCCATCAAGCCAGTATTGTGTTTGCTCTGCTCACCCTACACCAGATCCCTTGTTTCTCCACCATCCCTCACCTGTCC